ACCAACCTTACACATACGCCAATACAACACATACCTGTACAGGTACGCACATCCTGTATCTTGTCCTTAATCACTAATAATTTATAAATTATTTTATCTATTGAATGTAAGTATCAGCAGGGGCCGCGGAGAAGGGGGAAATTACCCCCCCCCTAATTTTTTCAATATCTCTTGCTTTGTAAAATGTAAAAGTATAAAATTCCGCCTCAGGAAAATACTTACATTTGATAAGTATGGATTTTTAACAATATTTCATGTCTCACTTATGTTCCACCTTCATTTTTTTGGTTGACGTTAGATTGATCAATTATAGCGCATTCAGACTGATTGCCGGAGTACGATACCCTGGTTCTGGCAAAAATCTGCAGGTTGCTCACACTACGTAGTACCCACTAGCATTGTCTATTTATAATTTCATGTTTTTTATTGTAAACAAGTTTTAAAACCCTGTGCTGAATGCATGCCTTTCTGTACATGTTACTCACGTGTCCTCGTTTACATCGGTGCCTGTGCCGAGCACCGTACTTGGGTAATACCTCTTTTCGTGGTGCCCAGACCTGGGCACTTATACGTGGCTATCATGAAAATTTAGTGTTCACATTGGTGCCCGTGCCTGAGCACTGTACCTTCGTAATACCTGTTTCGTGGTGTCCAGACCCGGGCACTTATACACAGACACCATCAAAATTTTGTGTTCACATTGTTGCCCGTGCCTGAGCACCCTGCCATTGCACTCACTCTGAACACACGAAATCAAACAAATTTTGTATATTGAATGATTACTGATAGAACTGTTAAAAACAACTTTACTATAATGGCAACAACAATCCGATTCTGCCACCTTTCTTTCAAACCTCTCCGCGGCCCCTGTATCACCTCAACTGTATCAATTTCTATCTTATATATTTCACAGAATCACATTGTATGATATAAATATTGTATTCAATTACACTAAAGGTGTCTTATAGCTAAGTTGAAAATTATCTATCATTAAAAATAAAAAATTGAAAAATATTATCGTGTATTTAAAATGTTTATAAAGCATAGTACTCATTAGATCATATAGTACTGTTTTATAGATAAAGTGTCGTCTAGTCCCAACAAGAGCGAACTCTTCAAAAAAGAATTTCTAACCAAGACAAAAATTGGTGTTTTTCACTATAAAAGGGCTCGTTCTTTTGCATACAACCAGAGGGCAGAGGCATAAGTTACATGTGCGTATGACGTTTGAAATAATACTTGAAATTCCTTATCCATTCTTTTAGTAAATATATTTGTTTCCCTCTGCGATCTATAGAAATGCTTTACATTTATTATCAAACGATATTAATCTACGACGCATTTAACATACTTTGATGTTTATAATCTGTTTCTAACAAAAATGGCAACGAAATCAAAGTTTCTCAAATTTTTTAAACACTTAAAGATCACCGAATTAAATGTAAGTTTTCCAGACTTTGTTGACTCAAAAATAAAGAATGGTAGAATGTTAGGTTGAATATATGTGAAATATTTTATGATGCATAATCTATTCATTTGCCAGGGTTAGTTCTGTTTATCTTATTTATCCCTCTGTATTTAACTCTATTTCTTTAACCTTATATTTTTTGTATACTTTTTGCCACAGCGATAAAAAAGAAAAAACTTTGTTGAGACGATGAACTGATCTAAAACATTTAATATTTTCTCTTGTCGGATGACGATGTAAATCGTTGCCGGAAATGACACGCAGGCAATTTAAAAATAATAATTTTAGGGAAAGTTGGTCTTGGCATTATTTAACTCGATTGTTTGATTTATCATTTGTATCTGAACTTCTTTTACATTATTTCTTCAAAATTTTGTTATTTGTGAATATTTATAAGAATTAGTTAGTTAACAGATAGTTTTTGAGCCACTGGCCATTAGGGCATTAACCGTGTTTTAAAACTCAGCTAAAATTGCTCGAAAATAAGGACAAAAGGAAGTATTAAAGATTGTTGATAAATAGTATGGAAGTATAAGAAAATACATATAATAAATGTATGAATAGTGAAATAAAAACATAAATAAATTATTGTTACTATCAAGTCGTCATACAACTTGGGAATAAACAACTTAATGAAACAAACCAAATTACAATTTACTACTTTCAAATTACTATCTTCAAATTACTGTCTTTAATTTACTGTCTTCAAATGACGTTAAGGACCGTTTGGTCCCACGTACAAGATTCAACTACAACAATTTGTCTTTTACTCTTATTAAACAACAACACCTTTCAAACGTCACTTCCTGCTCCCCATTCCGTCCAAAGCGGCAATTCATACGGTAGCCACACCGGCCCCTAAATGGAAATTGCAACGTAGCAATCCATTTACAACCATATTAAGCTACCGTTAAATCTGGATAACACAACAAGAACATAACTCTCAAATTCTAAATTATTTAGATATATAAACTTCAATTGTTCATCTCAAGTAGACATAATTTACTCACGGGACGGATCAAGGTTACCGTTTTCATCTTGTAATCTCCCTTTCGTTGATGTTTGGCTCTGGTCGATACTGTTGAACTAGTTTTTACCTTCACTGTCCGCACATAGCCGTCATTAGTTGCTATTGCTTCTATAACGAGACCTAACGGCCATTGTCCCCTTGGGTAGTTTTCGTCAGCTACAAGTACTAGATCTCCTTCTTTAAGATTCCGTCTCGGTGTATACCATTTCCTTCTCTCCATTAAAGTTGGTAAGTATTCTTTGAGCCATCTACGCCAAAAAACATTTGCTAAGTATTGAGCCTGCTTCCAATTCTTCTTACAGCACAAATCATTTTTGTCAAATAATCTCGGGGGTAAACTAGTACTTGCTCGTACATGCAATAAGTGGTTTGAAGTTAGAGTATCGTCATCGTCAGGACTGTCACTGTTGCGCGTGAGAGGTCTTGAATTCAGGATTAGAACCACCTCTACGATCACAGTTTGCAGGACTTCGTCTGAAACTACTTGTTCTTTGAGAATTGCTTTGAGGATTTGTCTAACAGATCGTATCATTCTCTCCCATACGCCTCCCATATGGCTCGCTGAAGGCGGGTTAAAGTGCCACTTAATTCTTCTTTGCGTACAAAATTTGTCCACTTTACTTTGATCCCATTCTTCAATTCCTTTGTTCAATTCCTTGTTAGCACTCACAAAATTTGTTCCTCTATCACTCCTGATTTGCTCGGGACATCCTCGCATGCTAATAAATCTCCTGAGAGCGTTGATCATCGAGTCCGTATCCAAGGAATGACCTATTTCTATATGGATTGCTCGGGTCGTGAAACATGTGAAAAGGCAACCATATCTTTTCACCAACGACTTACCTCTTTTCACCAGCATGGGTCCAAAATAATCGATTCCTACTATAGTAAAAGGAGGTTTTTGAGGTGTCACTCGGCTCTCTGGTAGATCGGACATTAGCTGCTCACCCAAACGAGCCTTTCTTCTTTGACAAGCTAGGCAACTTCGTACTACGCGTCGAACTGCTTTTCTTCTTTTAATTATCCAGAATTCCTTTCTTAGTGATGATAAGACGGATTCTTGACCCATATGACCTACTTCAGCATGATGTTGACGAATTATCATATCTGTGACGGGATGCTTAAAGGGTAGAATAATAGGATGTTTTGATTTCCCGTTGATTGGCGCATTACCAAGCCTGCCTCCAACCTTTAGTAAGCCATTTACCATCATTGGATTTAATTGTCGAATGGAGATTCTTGATTTTCTGAGTAGTGCCTTGTCAAGCTCCTTACTATTTCCTGGAACTGCAAACAGTTTTAGTTCTTGAGAAAATGTGGTGTTCTGTACATGTGCGAAGATCTCCCTATCGGCGGCATCTAATTCTTCCATTGTTAGTCGTCCAACTTTAAATTCCGATTCCAAATGAGGACCAGAAATAACTTCCCTTTTTCTCGCCTCTCAGTCTTCATCCTTTAGCTCAGGAATTGTTATCCCCTTCGGCCAATGGCTTTCATCCTCCCAAAGGAATGCAGGACCTTTTAACCATTGGCCTTTATTTCTCAACACGTCCAATTTAACGCCCTCGGAGCCTTCATCGGCGGGATTGTCGTCCCGGTTCACGTAATTCCACTCGGATGGGTGCGATCCACTACGAATCACTGACAAACGGTTGGACTCGAATGTGTGAAATCTTTTGCTTTCGTTGTTAATACATTTGAGGACTGACATTGAATTTGTCCAGTAACAAACTCTTTGCGCTACCATATCCAATTCTTCTCGAATAATCTTCGAAAGTCTTACGGAAATGACGGCAGCCGTTAATTCCAGTCTTGGAATAGAAATCTCCCTTAATGGAACGAGTCTAGCCTTCCCAATCACAAATGAGCATTGTATTTCATTGTTTCCATTCTTTTGACGCAAATATGCCACCGCCGAATAGCCAAGTCGAGAGGCGTCGGAGAAAATTAAGATTAGCCTTTTTGAATAAAAATGAATACATTAGCATTTAATGTATTGAATAATATACAAAAAAGCCGAGCCTATACTATTATGTTATTCGCACGTATTCGAATCTTGTGTGCGATTAATTACTTTCAGCTCGCTTCCACATGTTTGATTATTTTCATCCCTTATCCCTAAACGTAATACTTTTACATAATATTTAGAAATGCAGTTGAAAGAATGGAAGTATTTTGATCAATCAATAAAGAACAAAGAGATGTTCTTAAAATTAATTAAGTATGGACGCGACCCAGGTATGAAGGTTGAATGTGTGAACGACGTACGTGTAATTTTCTCGGACGAGTTTTACATTGGCAGAGGAAATAATGAAACCCGTATTTATCTTGGACTGAGCAAGGATGGTTATGGAAAAGCAGTGAAACGATTATTTCGAAATAACTGTACCAAAGAAGCAGTGAACGAAATGAAAATTTTGAATGAAATCAAAGCCAAGAAGTCGAGTTATGTTGTGAATTATTACCACTTTGAAGAAGATACCGGAACCGAATATGCTATTTGATACTTGACCTATGTGAAGAATCGCTGGAGAGTTTTGTAAAATCTTCTACTTTGGAGGATCTTCAAAAATCTCTTCCCGAAATTCTCAAGCAAATTTTAAAAGGATTAGCTGATCTTCATAGCGAACCAAATCCTATTCTTCATCGTGATTTAAAACCATCTAATGTTCTACGAGATGCACAAGGACAATATCTGATAGCTGACTTTGGTTAGTAGTCGAATATTGAAAAACGGCCTTAAGACACATGTAAGGGATGCTACTAAGGGAACTCAGTATTGGATTGCTCCTGAATCGTACGTTTTTGGTGAAGAGTCATTTGATAAAGCACGATACAAACCAGCGTCTGATGTAATGGTGAGTGTAAAAATATAACCATATGCAAATTACTTCAAAATTTTTTTAAAAATCTTTTGTTGACACTGTTATGTTTTTATATATTTTAGATTTCGGGAATGGTGGCTTATTATGTTGCAACAAAAGGGAAACATCCTTTTGGACGTCCAGAGTTTAGACTGAAAAACTTGCTAGATGGAAACCCTGTAGGATTGATGAAAATCGATGATGTTGTACTTAATGATCTTCTTTCATGGATGCTACAACTTTCACCAGAAGAGAGGCCATCTCCCAAAAAGGCGTTAAAACACCCTTATCTACTATCCGATGAAGAGAAGTTTAGTATGCTGTGTGATATGGGGAACCAACCGGAAATGAAACAATCAAAAGTTCTAAGTTCTCCATATTCAGATGTTGTTGCGCAATTGTATGCTCCCATGGAATGGATGACGCGTATCGATGATGAAGTCTTGAAAGATTTCAAAACCTTTAAAAAGAATGGCAAAAAGAAAACTCCGACTACATGGGCAAAGTGTTTAAGATTCATAAGAAGAGTGAATGATCATTGGAACGATAAACCTCGTACACATCTGTTGCGTTATGTCGAGGAAGGCAACTATGTAATTTATTTCTTGCAACGTTTTCCTGAACTGCATCTTCTGGTGCACAAAATCATAAGGTCGACTGACTGGAAAACAAGAGCCGATCTTCAGAAATATTTTACAGCTTAATCATACCAACAATTTTTTATGTTAAACGATGTAGCCAAATTAAGATTCTATGACACTATACAATGTCTCAATTTAGTTGTTATTTTCACTAAAAAGTACCAAAGAAGCAGTGAACGAAATGAAAATTTTGAATGAAATCAAAGCCAAGAAGTCGAGTTATGTTGTGAATTATTACCACTTTGAAGAAGATACCGGAACCGAATATGCCTATTTGATACTTGACCTATGTGAAGAATCGCTGGAGAGTTTTGTAAAATCTTCTACTTTGGAGGATCTTCAAAAATCTCTTCCCGAAATTCTCAAGCAAATTTTAAAAGGATTAGCTGATCTTCATAGCGAACCAAATCCTATTCTTCATCGTGATTTAAAACCATCTAATGTTCTTCGAGATGTACAAGGAAAATTTCTGATAGCTGACTTTGGTATTAGTCGAATATTGAAAAACGGCCTTAAGACACATGTAAGCAATGCTACTAAGGGAACTCAGTATTCGATTGCTCCTGAATCGTACGTTGGTAATGAAGAGTCAGTTGATTTCCCGTTGATTGGCGCATTACCAAGCCTGCCTCCAACCTTTAGTAATCCGTTCACCATCATTGGATTTAATTGTCGAATGGAGATTCCTGATTTTCTGAGTAGTGCCTTGTCAAGCTCCTTACTATTTCCTGGAACTGCAAACAGTTTTAGTTCTTGAGAAAATGTGGTGTTCTGTACATGTGCGAAGATCTCCCTATCGGCGGCATCCAATTCTTCCATTGTTAGTCGTCCAAATTTAAATTCCGATTCCAAATGAGGACCAGAAATAACTTCCCTTTTTCTCGCCTCTCGGTCTTCATCCTTTAGCTCAGGAATTGTTATCCCCTTCGGCCAATGGCTTTCATCCTCCCAAAGGAATGCAGGACCTTTTAACCATTGGCCTTTATTTCTCAACACGTCCAATTTAACGCCCTCGGAGCCTTCATCGGCGGGATTGTCGTCCCGGTTCACGTAATTCCACTCGGATGGGTGCGATCCACTACGAATCACTGACAAACGGTTGGACTCGAATGTGTGAAATCTTTTGCTTTCGTTGTTAACACATTTGAGGACTGACATTGAATCTGTCCAGTAACAAACTCTTTGCGCTACCATATCCAATTCTTCTCGAATAATCTTCGAAAGTCTTACGGAAATGACGGCAGCCGTTAATTCCAGTCTTGGAATAGAAATCTCCTTAATGGAACGAGTCTAGCCTTCCCAATCACAAAAGAGCATTGTATTTCATTGTTTCCATTCTTTTGACGCAAATATGCCACCGCCGAATAGCCAAGTCGAGAGGCGTCGGAGAAAATATGTAGACTCACATCTTTAACTTCTTTGAATCTTGCAGGTTTAAAACAGCGGCAAACCCAAATTTCTTGTAGCTTTGGGAGATCAGCTACCCAACGTTTCCATTGCGAAAGTTCGTTCGCAATGGAAACGCGAACGAACTTTCGCAATGTGGTAAGGAGGGCGATTTCTTTCGCCATGGCAGAGCAACTTGAAAATGATTATCCACTACTGTCAGCGTCTCTTCCATTATTTGAAGCGCTCTCTTGTCTTCAAGCGACGGACACACTTTAGTTTCAACTAGGGAGCCCTCAAAGTCGGTCTTCCACAGTCTTTCCAATTGATACTTGAGGCATTCATTTTCCGCTTCATCAACTTCATTGTTAGTGGCAGAGTCAGGGGCATCGAATTCCAATCGTGCAAGATTAGCCGATGCACACCGTTCATTTCGGTAGGCGACAGGACCAATCACTGTCCATCCTAAACTGTATTTAATTGCCACTGGATCCTTCTCCTCTCCCAATTTATATTCCAAAGGTAGAAACAACTTAGGATTTTCGCGCAGTCCGATAACCAGCATAACTTCACAAGTCTCTAACTCTTGCAACGGAAGATTGCGTAAGTGCGACCATTTTCTTATATCACCTCTTTTTGCTACACAACACTCTGAAATTGGTATTTGGTTCACCGTTCTGACATTTGATAATTCAACCACTATGCTGTCATCCATAGAACTTACTACGATATCCACTAATTCACTCTTTAATTCAGTCAATCCAGTCATCCCTGTCAATGTGAAGTCAAGCTTTCGCCCAGTTATTCCAAGTTGATTTTGCAAACGTTTATGACAAAGTGTTTCTTCTGAACCGCTATCCATTAGTGCGTAAGTTCTGACTGACAGTCGATTGTTCCTCTTTGCTTTCATTTTCAGTGGGACAACGCTAAGACACACGCAATCTCCGGCCCCAGTTGCTACTGCTACCTTTACTTCATCTGGACTTCCCTCTTTGTTCGTGTTATTTCCTTCACACAGTTTGTCCTTTGAATCCTCTTTACTGGACGTATTCGTTTGTGGTGGATGTAACAACGTATTGTGGCCCTTTCCGCATCCTTCTACTCGACATTTGAGATCAATCTTGGGACAAGATCTGGCATAATGCCCTCTAGTAAGACACCTGAAACAAAGTTAGTGTTCTTGAATAAACTTCTTCTTTTCGTGATAAGGAAGTTTGTTAAACTTATCGCTTTTCCATATCCTATGGCCTTCTTGACAAATGAGGCATTTCATGTTTGATGTTCTCCTTTCTTTAAAGTTTCCATCTCTACCGTTCTCTCGTTTGTACGCTCCAGCTGCAAACGAACTAGTTCTCGCAGAGGGACCCTTTTTCCCTTCTAATCTCTTGCCTCCATCTTACCTTACGACGCCAGAACAGAGATCTTCTCCGAATTCATTGTTCACGAGTTTGGCTCTTTTCTTCACAAACAAAAGGAAATCTTTAAATTTAGGTCTAGAACCAGATTCGATAATAGAGCCCGCACATTCTGTCCACCTAACTCTCATAAATAGTGGTAGCTTACGATTTAATTCGCGTAGGGTGTTCATATGGTCCAGCTCGCTTTCATATTCTGGCCCCATACTAGCAATGGTTCTGTTCGCCACTTCCAGATGTCGAGTTAACTCCAACAAACTTGGTCCATCTGCTTGCTTCAATAGCGGCAAATTCATCAACTTTAGAACGTGAGCCTTTGCAATTATGTGCGGTTTGCCAAAATTTTCATACAGTGTGTTTTTCGCGATATTATAACCTTCCTGGGCAGGTAAGTTAACACAACTCTCAATAGCATCACGTGCTTTACCAGTGCAATGTTGTATTAGGAGTTGAAGTCTAGTAGAATTATCTGGATTGTCCTTTTCTATGCAAGTCTCAAAATTATGCATGAAGGAGGCATAATTTATTGCATCACCCTCAAAGTGCATATATTTGATTTTTGGCATGGAAACTACTTGTCTCAAGGCTTTTACTATCTCGTCTCCTCCTCCTTCCTTTAATTGGATCTGTTCGGCTTTTTGTTCAATGTGTCATAGGAGCTGATTGTGATTCGCCTTCCGACGATCTTACAGTCTGCTCTGAGTTAGTTTGAGTTTTCTGCGTTGGTACCTCCGACTGTTTTATTTGTGGTTCGGATTGATCCACTTCAATGATTTTCTCCAAGTCCCTACATTCCTTGGCTGGGAGGGCAGTATCGAACTTTGCGGAACATTTTGCAAACTTTTTTTAGTTTTGATACCGTTACCGCTGTGGTCTTACCGTGGTCTTCTTCCTCTTTCAAAGCTTAAGGCTCACCATCGCTCTTCCTTTTGGCATAGCCTCCTCAAATCTTAATTCTGCCATTTTCCTTTCAAGTTCATGTCTTTCTCTTCAGCTGTGCAAGGGCTAACTTTTCTTTCCTCCTGACACTGTTGAAGACTTGGAACTATGGCTCCTTGACTTACTTGTTGAGCTTCTACTTGTTAGTAATGAAGGCGAACTAACCTCTTCTCCTCGTTGCTTTGCTTCTAATTTGGCATTCCTTTGCCAAGATCTGACTATTTCGTCCAGATGCACCTTTTTTGCCATCTGTTCTTTTTAGCTACGATTTGCTATTTCTCTTTCTTCATCCTGGACGACTAATTCAAGGTATTGTTCGTGAATGTCAACGAACGCCTTCCAATTATCATCATATTGTTTTTTGCGTCTCTTGATTTCGTCCAATGTTGCACCAGCATGAATGCCTTCTTGTAACCATCCCTGATTGGTTATTAAAGTGTTTATTAACCCGATACGAGTCTTAAACAAAACGTTGATTGTTTCGTTTCCGGTCTTTCTTATATTTGATGCCGATGTTGTAGTATTTAGTTCCTTGTTGAACACTGTAAAACCTACGTGTATGAAGCCACTCTCAGATCTTGTTTCCGGTTTGACAATCCGCTCATCTTGCAACACTATCGGCCAAGATTTTACTGACATAATCGAACTCCCAAAATAGAAATGACTTCTTCGCAAGCTGCCCTAGCAACTGTCAATCATTCCATGTAATAATCCCAAAAGTTTTGTTGCGATATCCCGTCCCGAATAAGCAAGTATATTCAGATAGCCGTTTCCTTCGAGCAATTAAATACGTCGTCTGTAACGATCGAACATAAATGAAAAACGCCGTCCCTGACGCGAGAATATAGTTGAGATACACGAATATAGATGAGAGTCACCGTCCCTGACGCGAGAATATAGTTGAGATACACGAATATAGATGAGATTCACCGTCCCTGACAAGCGAATATAGATGAAATACACGAATATAGATGAGATTCACCGTCCCTGACAAGCGAATATAGATGAAATACACCGTCCCTGACGCGCGAATATATTGTTTACCAATTAACAATCGTGGTGTTTAGGTCCTTAACTGTTACTATCAAGTCGTCATACAACTTGGGAATAAACAATTTAATGAAACAAACCAAATTACAATTTCCTACTTTCAAATTACTATCTTCAAATTACTGTCTTTAATTTACTATCTTCAAGTTACGTTAAGGACCGTTTGGTCCCACGTACAAGATTCAACTACAACAATTTGTTTTTTACTCTTATTAAATAACAACACCCTTTTAAACGTCACTTCCTGCTCCCCATTCCGTCCAAAGCGGCAATTCATACGGTAGCCACAATTATGAAATTTTAACAATGAAAGTAGACAAGTCATATAGTCACTGATGTCGAAACTAATTATTGATTTGGCAAACACGATGTGCAATCTACGACATCGTGAAAATGGAGCAAAAATAATTGAAATATACA